GGGGGGGAGGCGTGGACGCGAGTGGCGGTGGAAGGGCAGCGGGAGCGATGGGGACGGCTGTGCGGCGAGGCGGCGAGAGGTGGAGTGGAGATGGTCCTCCTCCCGGCGGGAGGCTGCCCCCGGGGGTTGGGCACCTTTTCAGGCGTGTCATTGCGCCGGGAGATCGCGCGGCTGGGCCTGGCGTCGCCGGCTCCGATCGGCCAGGCGAGCCCCGGCGCACGCCCGTGCAACGGCCGGAGGAGAAGGCGTTCCCCGCCTCCTTCCCCCCCCCCCCCCCCCCATTGCGTGCCGTCGCAGCGCCCTCTTCCCGGCCAGAGGGGGGGGCTTCCGCGCCAAGCCCCCCTCCGGCGAAGGCCGGGCATGCGGAGGCCAACGGGCGATCTCCGACCAGCCCCCTGAAACGGGCAGATCGGCTCGCCCGATCAGCCTCTGCCACCGACCCCACCCGACCGCGGGTGTTGGCCCACCAGCACGGGCGCGCGGGAGGGCGAGGGGTCGAAGCCTGCCCGTCCCACCCCCCCAAGACCCGAGATGCCCCAGGCCCATTCTCTGCGTGACCGGCGGACGGGCGTGCGCGCGCGCGCGCGCACACCCTCGCTCAGACCCGGCGAGCATCAGGCTCGACAATAATGTCCCCGCTCGGAAAAGTTCACCCTCACGCGCACCGGCGGACGAACGCCCACAGACCCCCTCGTCCCCCGCCCCCCGCGCGCGCGCGCGCGCGCGCCCCCAGGCCCAGAGCTTCTCCGACGGATCCTGGTCTGGTGGCCCCGGGAGGGCGCTTAGCATTTGTACCGGTACGCCCTGACGGCCCTGGGGTGGATCTAAACCGCGGGCGGATTCCCCAGAACAACCCCGATCTGGGGCCGACCAGATTCGCGGCCTGCGACCGTTAGATTCGAGCATCAGAACAGTCATTGGCACTCCAGAACAACCATACGCCCGACATCGCGCGGAGCAACCGGCCAGTTAGCGGCTAGCCATGGCCGTGAGAGCGTGGGCACTCCGCCGTCGGTGCGCCGCCTCCCGTTGGCCCCTCGTAGAAGGGGAGGGGGGCAAAGAAGGCGCGTGCGCGGGGCACACATACGGTATGATTGTCTATTGTGCTCACGGCCGGTCTCGGCCTCGCGGTGCATGGCGCGCGCGCACGCGCGCGCGCGCGAAGAGCCCGGGCCAAGGGGGTGCGCGTGGCGCCGGGCGGCAGACCCGGCCGGGTGGCGCGGGACAGGGCGACACACAAGCGGCCCGGGGCGGTTACTACCCGAGGCGTTCCAGGAGGGTTCGGGTCATGGATGCGTGCTTGGTGTTGTTGGCGAGCTCGGCCTCGGCCAAGATCAGCCGGAGCAGGGACTTGAGGGAATGCTCGTCGTCGGCGTCCTCGGCCCCGGGACTGGGGGTGGCATCGGCCGCGCTGTACGACAGCATGGCGGCCTCCAGGGACCCGGTGGCGTCGGGCTGGTGCTGGGCCGGTTGCGGCGCCCGGCCGTCGGCCGGCATGGTCGTCAGGCTGGACGAGTAGGTCTTGAAGAGGTTGGTGGCGCGGGCATAGGCGTCCTTCAGCTGCCCGGACAGGGCGGCAGCCCGGGCCGCGCGGAAGGGCGACGTGATCTGCCTGATGTACTTGAAGGTGTGCTGTGTGTGTGGGGGGGGGTCAGGGGGATTAGCGGTTGGGCAGGGCGGCCGCGAGAGGGGGCCGGGCAGGGAGGCCGGCACAGCGGAGCAGGCCCGAGGCAAACGCACGCTCTGGTCATTGAGGCCGGCAACATGGTCGCTGCTGAGGCTGGTAATGGACCGGAAGAGGGGCTTACGGCCGGACGGCGGGTTGGGGCCCTCGTCGCCGGCCGACACCGGGCGGAAGCCGGTGGACGAGGCCACCGCGGCCGCGGTGTACATGTGGTCCAGATCCGCCTCCGAGGCAAAGATCCGCACGCCGGCAATCAGCCGGTCGATGCGAGTCAGGGCATTGGAGGGGCTCAGCCCGGCCGCGGCCTTGGCCGCCTGGTGCAGGTACGGGTGGACGCTGCCCGAAGGCCGGTGCTGCGCCGCGTTCCGAGCCGCCTCCAACGCCTTGGCCATCGGGCCAGTGCCCAGGGCCGCCATGATGAGGCGGATGGCGTCCACGTAAACAAGCCGCGCCGGGAGGCCGTACTGCTGGATGATGCGCGAGGCCAGGGGAGCCTCGCCGAAGTAGAGGAGGCGCCGGCAGACCTCTGTGCGCGTGCGCGTGCGCGTGCATGGGCGTGTGCGTGTTCGGTCGTCAGAAGCTGGCACGGAGGGATGGGTGCAGGCTGGCGAGAGCGGCGCACCCTGTTGCTGGTCCTTCTGGTGGAAGAGCGTCGCCGGGACGGTCTGCGTGATGATGCCGGGCGACTCGAAGCCCAAGGCACCCAGGTGGATGGGCATGGTCAGGAGGAATTGGCTCACGGCATCGGAGTCGGCGGAGTCCCCCTTGGCGGCGATGCGCGCAAAGGCAGCCATCACATCCCGCTGCAGGAGGAGGCTCTGTGAAAAAGGGACGAAGCAAGCGACAGGTGTGCTCCAAAGGTCAGAGGGCAGCGGGGGCGCGGAGAGGCGCGCGAGGGGCGAGGGGCGAGCAGGGGCCAGGGCCCGGGGGAAGCCCGGCATTCCGGACGCACATCCTTGTGGCGGCTGGCCGCGCGCGGGACCAGCGCCTCGGCCAGGCCCAGCGGCGCGCGCGAGTAGCTTGGCTCTTGCGCATCGCCGGAGAGGCCGGCCCCGGGTGCCGGGCCGGCGGCACTGCCACCGGCGGCGCTGGTGCCCAGCTGCAGGTACCGGTGTGAGAGGGCCAAATACCGGACCCCCTCGGCCAAGTCGAAACTCCGCGCGGCCGGGGTCAGGAAGAGCTTGATGCAGGTGATACTGGCGGCCAGGTAATCGCGCGAGGCCACGAAGAGGGCCAGGCGCTGGCGCAGCAGGCTGTTGGCCGCATCGATGGACTCGAACCAGGCGACGCGCTCGGCGTCCGCCGGGCCCGGGGCCTTCCAGATGGCCTGGCTGTGGTACTTGTACCCGGCGAGCAGGGCCACGCCGGCCGCGCGGAGGAGATTCCGCAGGAAGACCTCGTGGTCGGCTGCGGCCACGGGCAGGGGACACAGGGCAGCATGTCAGCAGGAGGGGACGCGGACCGGCGGAAGGCAAGGCAAGGCATGGCGAGGCGCCGCGGGGCGAGGGGTCCTTCCACTGGGTGATGGGGAGTTGTTCTTTTGCCGGCCTTTGCCTGCCCAAAGAACGAGAAAGAGGGGGGGGGGGGGCGAGGCAGGCGCAAGAGCCGGACGCACCATCCAGCGAGTGGTAGTCAATCAGGGCCACCAGATTCTGGGCCGAGCCATCGCGCTGGAAGCAGGCACGCAGGACCACATCCACGAAGAGCCCGCGCACCGACTCGGCGGCTTCCGGCTGGCGGAGATACTGATGGGCCGAGGGCGGGGCCCCGGCGAGGTCCACCGGCAGGGCGCCGACCGGGGTGCTGGCGCCGGTCCCGGTCACGGCCCCGGGCCCGGCGTGGTGGTGCGCCAGCTCGCCCAGGTGCACGATGGCCTTGGACCAGACGCTGTGCCGGGCGGCCAGAGCCACCAGCGCCGTGAGGCTGGACGCGGTGGCCGGGCCACCGGCGGCGGGTCCCGAGCCGGCCGAGGCCCCGAGCTTGGCCGACCCGGGCCCATCGCCACTGGGCCCGAGCCCGGACGTCCGGATGGACAGGCTGCCAGGCAGGCTGCCAGCTCCCGGGCCAATGTGATGGGCATGGCCGGGGCCGCTGCCGGGGCCGCTGCCGCCGCCGGGGCCGCCACCGGGCCCGGCCGCCGCACGAACCCGATACACCGAGGCCACCATGTCGAAGCGCTCGCGGTCAAGATTCGAGGACCGGGACACCCGGCGCTCCTCGGCGGGGGCGTAGCGTGACGCGGCATTCTGCGTCAGCTGCACGAGCCTGGGGCCGGGAGGGAAGCAGGCGAGTCAGTCATCAGGGGAAGCCGGGCAACCGTGGCCCACCGCCGGCAGGGGAAGGGGAGGAGGCCGGCGAGGAAGAACAACCACACAGGCAAGCCGGCAATCGAAGGGCACAGGCGGAGGGGGGGGGGAGGGGGGGGGGACGCACTCGCTCGAGTCCTTGAGGGCTGCGACCACGGCGCTGGTGGCGGAGGCGGTCGAGGGGCCGACAGTGGCCGGCTGCAGGGCGGCCTGAAGGTGCGCCTGGACCTTGCGGATTTGCTCCAGCTGCGCCTGCAGAGCCAGGCTCTGGGCCATGGTTTCCGGGCAGGTGATATCGGCCCCTTGCGCCGGGCCGGGCGCGGCCGGGGCAGCCGGGCCGAGCGCGGCACCGAGGCAGGGGGCCGCCTCGAGGGCACGCGCGACGCGGTCCGTGGCCGCCGGGCTCGGGGTGCTACGCTGGTCGTCGGGTTCTTCGAGGTGCGAGCCGGGGCATGGATGGAGCGGATCAGTGATATGCACGGGTTATGACGGCACAGGCACGAGGGACGGGAAGAAAGAGAGAGAGAGAGAGAGACAGGATGGGAGAGAGAGCGGCGCGCGCAGGATCGAAGGAAAGAGCCCCACCCGCGCCAACAGCGGGCACAGGGGGGGGGAGGGGGCTGCCTGTGCGAGCTGGTTGTCGATGGGGGGCGACGTCTGTCTAGGCCGGGAGGTAAACATACCAAGAACGCGACGGAAGCGCGACCGAGCCAGCGACACGCGCCCGGCCCGGGCATCCCGTTCGCCCCATTCCATCCAGATGGTCTCGGTGCCGAGACTGTTCAGCAGCGAGGCACGGGGGTTGCCCGGCTGGGCCAGCCCGCCGGCCGGCGTGCCGCTGAGCAGCGTCTGCACCTTGGACGTGAGGAGCAGCGCATGGCGGAAGCGCCCAGCCTGGAGGAGCTTCTCGCGAAGGGACCTGCGTTGTTGTTTGGTCCGCCCGGGTGCCCGGGGCCCGGCAGCGTAGTTTCACACACACATGCGGGCGCACAGAAGCCGAGGGGGTTAGACGAGGACAGCGGCGCGGCGACGAAGGGGCGACAGGGAGGCGGGCGGACAGGGCGAAGGAGGCGAGCGGGGCGCAGGAGAAGTGGGCAGTGCGCGACGGTGCGGGCAGGCGCGTCACGCACCGGAGACGGCTGGCGTCGGTCAAGTCCTCGAGGCGGACCCAGCCCACCGGGTCCGGGCCGTCGCCCGGCTCCCGGAGATGCAGCTCATCCTCATCGCCAGGGTGCACCGGCCGGCCGCTGTCGCCGGGCCCACTGAGGCCGCCGGCACCGGCCAGGAAGGCCCCATTCAGCGTGCGGATCATCTCCAGCTGGGTGAGCATGACATCGCACTGGCTGGAAAGCTGGTACGCCTGGCGCATTGCGGCCTGCAGCGACCGGACATCCTCCTCGGAGGGGGCCGGCTGCGGGGCGGCGCGAGGGGCGCCCACATGGCCCCCGGCCAGGCCGGCCAGGCCGGCCGAGAGTGAGGACGTCGGCGCGCCGGCCCCCGGCCGAGGGGACACCCCGCCGGTGGGGGTCTGCTCCGGCGAATCGACGCTCATGCTCAGCGGCTGCGAGAGGTAGATCTTCGCCTGGAAGAGCAGCTGCCGCATGGTCAGGATGATGGTGTCCGGCGAGAGGGTGTCCAGCAGGGCGGCGGCCAGGGCCCCGGGCCCAGGCCCCGGCCCGGCCACCGCCGACAGCCGAACCGCCAGCTTTCGCGCGAACACCACACACAGGGAGGCCGCCTTCAGGGGGTTGTCAAAGAGCGAGAGGATGCGCTTGGCCAGGTGGACATCCGGCGGGGCAGGGCGCCCGGTGGCCGGGTCGCCTGCGGCGGCGGCCCCGGCGGCCCCGGCCCCGGCCCCGGCGGCGGCCCCGGCCCCGGCCCCGGCCTCGGTGGCCTGCTCCAGGGCCATGTACACATACCGCTCGCGGATGGACAGGTCCCACTCCGGGTCGTCGCCACGGAAGTACGGCGTGGCCGCCAGCCCGACGGCCGGGGGCCCGGAGTCCAGCAGGGCCGCCGAGTTGTGGATGCCCACGGATTTGGCCGCATACGCGATCACCAGCTGCGAGGCCTTGGGGCCAAGGCTGCGCGCCTGCGAGGCACCCACGGGGTCCTGGTCGCCGGAGCGCGGGCCGTACAGCGCGTGCTGCCCGCCGGCCGGGGCATGGTGCCCGCCCAGCGGCCCGCCGGCCGGGCCCATGCCGGACCGGGCTCCCCCGCTGCCGCCGCTGGACAGGCTCGACAGCGAGGCCAGCGACGGGGAGTTCGACAGCCCGGTGCTGGCCGGCATGCTGACCGCATAGCTGGCATCCTCGTCCAGGCCGAAGAAGGACTCCGGGAAGGCAAGCAGCAGGCGCTGGGCGCTGGCAATGTCGCGCGCCATCAGCAGCGTCTCCAGGATCAGGTCCGGGTGGTGGATCAGATGCGCGCAACGGGTAGCCAGGTCGGTGGAGTAGCGCCCGCCGCTCGGGGAGGCCCGGGGGCCCGGAGTCACGGCCAGAGGCCCGGTCGTGGGGCCGGCCCCGGTCGGCGAGCCGGGCTGCGTGGCCGGCCCGGCCGACGGAGGGCCGCCGCCAGCCGGGACATCACCACCGGCGAGGGCCTCCCCGGAGGTGGCACTGGCCCCGGGGCCGAGGCCGACCGAGGAGGACGCTGACAGGGCCGGGCTGCTGGTAGCCGAGCTGCCGGTGGCATCGGCCACCGGGTTGCCGGGCGTGGCAGAAGCGCCAGCCTCGGAGGGGTCGGCCGCTGGGGTGGCCGCGTCGGCCATCGAGCCGCGGGTGGTGGCGGTAGCCGCGGCCGCGGCCGCGGCCGCCACGCGCAGCGATGCCACCATGCGTCGGCCGCGATCATCATCATACAGGCGCTTGTACGAGTCCAGCGGCAGGGCCCGGCCCAGATGGTTGAGCATGTACTCGGCCAGGAAGAGCCGTGCCACGGTCGGGACCAATGCCATGCCGGAACGGCCCACCAGGGTGGCGGACGTGCGGTAAAGATGCTGCGTGTGCGTGTGCATGTGCGTATGCGTGTGCATGAGAGTCCGCGTGAGTCCGCGTGAGTCCGTGTCAGAGGGGGCGCGGCGGAGGGAGGCATGGTTAGACACCGGAGAAAGGCAGGCCAAAGGCCGGAAAAAAAAAAAAAAGAACAACACCCGAGTATTGCGCACCGAGCAGATGACCAGCGCCGCGCGCGCGCCCACCGACGACAGGACCTCCGCCGCGCCGATGGTGTCGCCCACCAGGCCGAGGTCCGGCCCGGCGGCGTACGACGACCGGCTGCGTGTGAGTCGCCACCGGACATGGTGAGTGGCGATGAGCCGCAGCAGCCATGCATACTCGTAGTGCACGTCGCCGGACACCGCGCCGGCTGGCAGGTCGGCCATGCTCTGCTCACAGCGCTCGATCTCCTGCAGAATGGGATCCGACTCCGAGTGGTCCAGCACCCCGGTCGAGGTGGCCAGATCCCCGGAGGAGGGGTCGCCATCGAAGCCCGACCCGGCCATCATCGAGGAGGAGGACGATGGCCCGGAGCCGGACGATGACCCCGAGGCCGAGGGCCCAAGCCCGGAGCCCACATCATCAGCAAACAGGTCGGAGCGCATGCGCTCGATGCTGCCCGGGCCGGCCCCGGCCCCCGGGCCGCCAACCCCGGCCAGGCTCATGTGCATCAGCATCCCGGCCGCCGCGGGGTCGGTGCCCTGGAAGATGCGCCCGTGCAGGGCCCCGGCCGGCGGGTGCGCGGCCACCACCAATCGCGAGCACAGCCCGAACACCGTGAAGCTGGACTCCGGCTCCAGCCAGTAGTGATCCCGCAAAAGGGGCGACGCATTGGCCGACTCGTCGCCGGTGCCGGCCGCGCGCCTGGAGGCCCCGGGCCCGGGCAGGGACTGGACAAAGTCCCCCATGCCAGGCCGATGGCCAGCACCATGCGTCGAGCCCCGGCTCGAGTGGGCTGGGCGGGGGTTGGCGTTTGCGAAGGCGGCCGGCCCGAACCGGTGCAGCAGATCCAGCACCGTGCCCCGGGGATCGGATCGAGCACGCAGGTGGAGATCCTGCCAGCGGCTGATCGAGGAGTCGAGCTGAAGCTCGCCCAGGGGGGGGGGGGAGAGGGGGGGATGAGCGAGCGAACGAGAGAGAGAGGAGGAGGAGGAGGAGACGAGGCGAGGGTGGATGGACAGGCAGTGGTGACCATTGGAGGGGAGGGGGGGAGGGGAGGCGGCGAAGTCAGTGACCAGGCACACGCGGCGTGAGGCATCAGGGAGCAGGGCGGCGGAGGGAAGCAGCCAGCCGGTGGGCCACATACCGCCATGATAGCCCCATATACGCGGATCCGGGCCCAGGCCACGTCGACCTCGCGCAGGAGCTCCTCGTCGGGCTTGGCCTCGTCGCCGGGCCCGGCGATCGGAGCCGGCGTCGACGCCATGTACCCGGGCAGGGCCGAGCGAATGGGCCCCAGGACATTCAGCGCGTCGGCCGGGGTCTGCCACAGCTGCAAGTAGTCCAAGGCCAGCTGGGCGGAGCGCTGTGTGCGCCGGACAGAGGGGGCCCAGGGGGGGGGGGGGGGGAGGAGAGGGGCGGGGGGTTAGCCAGCGAGACAAGACCCCAGCGGCGTGACAGGAGCAATGCCAGGCCGGAGGGCAGGCCGGCGGAAGCAGCAGGCCAGGGCCGGGGCACGTACACGCAGATCCGCCATGCGGGCGATCAGCAGCGGGGCATTCGGCGACCGGGGCGCCGCTTCCAGGGCGCGGACCAGGACATCGTCCGCGACCTCGGGCCACCGGCCCAGGGGGAGGCCTCGCGTCAGGGCCCGGAGCATGGCCCGCTCCGGGGCCGCAAGCCGGGCCAGCTGGCCGGGCGTGTAGGCCGCCGACACCAGGGTTGCCTGGTTGCCATCATGCCCGGCACTGGCGACGGCCGCCATGGCCGGGGTGCCCAGGTCCCCGGAGTCCGCCGGGCCCAGGTCCCCGGAGTCCGATGCGCCGGCCGAGGGGCCGCCGGTTGGCGGGACCAGCAGGGCCCCGGATGCCAGCATGGACAGCGCCTGGTCGCGGACCAGCAGCTGCCGGGCATCGGACTGGGCCTGGCGCTCGGCCGGACTGGGCCGCTCGGGGCCCGACGACAGGGCGGAGCCTGCCGGGCCCGTGGCCGTCGCCGACCCGGCGGCGTCCGACTCCTCGGCAGCAGCGGCGTCCGGCCCGTCGCCATCCGCATGGCGGTCCGGGCCATCGGCATCCGACTCCTCGCCGGGGGCCAGCGAGCCCGCCTGGCCGAGAGCCCGGTCGAACATGGCCGCCGGGCCGCCCTGGAGCAGGGTCGTCCGCCAGGCCGCCCGCTCGGTGATGATGTCCGAGTGGATGGTGTCATCGTCACTGACATCCGACGGGATGTCGCCCCATTCGGCCCGGTCCAGGGTGGGCAGGCGCCCGCCGGCCGGGGCACCGGCGCTGGTGCCGGCCGCCGGGCCCATGCCCGACGGAGGCCCGGCGCTCGGCGGAGCCCCCCGCCCGGTCGGGATCCCCAGGATGGACCCGGTTTTGAGCCGACGCGGGGTGGTGGCACCGGCCGCGCTCGCGGGCCCGCCTCCCGGCGCGCCGGGGGTGGCGCCCGAGCCGCCGGCGCCCCCGGCGAAGGCGCCGCCCGACGGCCCGGCCGGCGACCCGAGAATGGTCGACGCCCGGGTGCGCACCGCATCCACCATGCGGAAGGGCGAGGCCACCCCGGCCCCGGCGCCGGTCATGCCGCCCGGAGCGGGAGAGGCCGGCTCGGCGGCCCGCGACCCGGACGCCGCGGCGTTGGCCTGCTGCACCAGGGCAAAGCAGGCATTGCAGACGCGCTGCGGCGGCATGTTGCCCGGCATGCCGGGGATGATGCACCTCTGGTTGGAGCACTGGTCGCAGAAGACTGCTCGCCATGGCGCGAGGGGGACGAGAGGCGGTCAGAAGGGCAAGCACAAGGGGGGAGGGGGGGGGGGGGGCGCGAGGGGAGCCGACCAAAGCCGCCCGGGGTGGCAGGAAGCCGAGGGCACGAGAGGGCAAGAAGAGAGGGGACATCGGTGGCGGAGAGCACGCACGGAAGCCACACGCGCGGCAGTGGTGCCGCCGGCGGAGCATGTTGAAGGCCTGCTTGCAGCCCTGGCAATTTGGCGCGTCGGCGTCATTTTGCCAGTGATCACGGCCCTCGCGCCAGGAGATCTGCCCGGCCGAGGCACCGGCCATTGCCAGGCCCTGGCGTCGGGCCGCCGCTCCGAGGACCGACCCGAGGCCATCCCCGGGCACAGGGCCGGACCCGTCGGGGCCGGGGTTGCCCGCGCCCGGGGCCGGCTGCAGCGACAGTGCGATGGCCGCGTCGAGGGCCGACTCGCGCGGGAGCAGCCGGCCCACGCCGGACTGCTCCAGCAGGGCATTGAGCGACCCGGCCGGACCCACGTCGGCCGGGGCCCCGGCGGCCTTGGTCTCGGCCGGGGTCGAGCGCTCGCGCTGGGCCGTGGCCAGCGCAGCCAGGCCGATCTGCCCCGGGTCCTTGAGCGACAGCTGCGGGTAGATGAGCTCCATGCGGACGTGGCGCCGCAGGGGGGCCAGATCCCGGCAGACGGCCAGGTCTTCGGCCCGGGCGGCCGCCTCCGCCGGGTCGGCATCACCGCGCCCGCTGGTCCGTGGCCGCAGGGACATCGACAACGAGGAGAGAGCCCGGTCGAAGGTGGTGGTGGTGGTGGTGGCGGCGGCGGCGGCGGCGGCGGCGGCGGCGGCGGCCGTGGCAGGGGCATCCTCCCCGGGGGTGGCCTCGGCCCGCGCCACCTGCTCGGCCAGGGTCAGGGCAATGCGCAAGATCAGCCAGATGGTCAAGGCCCGCGGCGCGCGGAACAGCAAGAAGCTGGCCACCTCGCCGGTCAGGGAAATGGCCAGGCCGCCGGCCTCCGGCGAGTCAACCGACCGCGAGGCCAGCTCGGTGGACTTGGCACGGGCATCCGGCAGCGGGGCGTCCCGTGAGAGGAGCATGCTCCGCGACGCGGGGACCAGCAGGCGCACGCGCTCGGACGGCAGGGTCGGGAAGTCCGACACCCAGATGAAATCCCCAGGCAGCGAGGCATCCTGCAGGCGCAGGAGCCCGGCCGCCGGGAGGCGCGACAGGCGCAGGCTGACATCGCGCCCGAGACGCCCGCCGGCCGGCAGCAGCGCCACCGGCCGGCCGGGCTCCGGGGCCAGGAGCACATCCGCCGGAGCGGCCAGCAGCCCGGCCCCCGGGGCCCCGGTGGCCGCAAGCAACCCCGGCAGCAAGTCCATCGGGCCCTGGTGCGGGTGGCACAGGACCCGGAAGACCAGCTGCGCCGCCAGGCCCAGAGGGTCGGCCGGCTGGAAGTACCCGGCCATGGGCCCAGGCGGCCCGTCTGGCCCATGCTCATCGCCGCTGGCCGCCGGCCCGAGGAGCGTGCGCGACGCGTCAAACAGCTGCACCGCCTCGGACAGGGCCTGCAGCAGCAGCTCCGGAATGAAGACGGTCTTGGTCTGGCGAAGGGGCGGATGGCACATGAGGCCGGCCGGCGGGTCAGTCGGGCGTGGTGGCGCGTCATCGGAGCAGGCCCGGAGGCGGCAAAGGTGCCCATTGGCCGAGAGGGCCGGACGAGGGGACCGGGCGTACCTCGAAGCTGACATGCGCGTGCGCGTGCACATAGCGCACCAGCGCCCGGACCGACTCGATGTCCACCGCGGCGAAGGTCTCAGCCCCGGCGGTGGACCAGACCCCCAGCGGGGCGGTGCCCTCGGTCAGCGTGCACAGCCCCAGGGGGACGGTCAGGAAGAAGGGCAGTCGGTCGGCGGCCGCGCCGAGGGCCGCGCGGTGATCCAGCACTGGACGAGGGGGCGGCGGAGAAAGCGGGGGGGGAGGGGGGGGGCGTCTGAGTTTCCAGGACAAGGCACCGCGAGGACGCCAGAGGCAAGACACAGGAGGCGCGGCGATTGCCGGCGTACCAATGGCCAGGTTAAGCAGGGCCACCTGCACGGCATGGGCGCTGATGCGCGTCGACACCGAGGAAAAGGGCAACTCCGGCGAGTGGAAGTCCCCCACGCTGTACAGGATCCGCGCTTTGTAGGACTCGAGGTCGCTCAGGGTGGGGCCTGGACATGGCCACAGGGGAGAAGGAGGTCAGGACCGGGGCACGCCATTGCACCAGTGGGCTGAGGCACCAGGGGCAGGAAGGTGGCAGCGGGAGGGGGGGGGGGGGGGGGATGTTGTCTGGCCTTTGCCCTCTCGCTGCATCGCCCGGCCCCGGCAGGCGGGGGCAAGAAGATACGCACACTGATGTGGGCCGGCCACCAGATGCGCATGCAGCATCATCAGGTTGTGCAGGTCCACCAGAACGGCCAGCCGCCCGGCCAGGAAGTCGGTTGCCAGGCTGGCGCACCGGGCAATGGCCTCCGAAAAAGTGGACATCGAGGGGGCAGTGCCGCCCAGCAGGTGGACCAGATCCACATCCGCCCGGAAGACCACCTGGCCGGCGTGCGTCAGGATGGCGAGGATCTCGGGGAACTGCAGGTTGTTGGGCCCCGAGCCGGCGAGGAGGAGAGAGGCACACCCAGGAGAGAGAGAGAGAGAGAGAGAGAGAGAGAGAGAGAGAGAGGGGGGGGGGGTTAATCCACAAGTGGGGCGAGGCGGCGACACAATGAAGGGGGCCGGGCAACGGACCAGCATGGCGATGCCGGAGCCGCGCGCATGGTCACCAGCGAGCTGGGCGATGCGCTCGGCCGGCAGCAACAGCGCGTCCTTCAACGGCACGGCCCCAGGGCCGGCACCGGCCAGCGACGCGGACGAGCCGGGGCCGGAGCGCATGGACGCCACCTCCTCCGCCAGGCCCAGCGACCCGAGGGTGCGCAGCAGGAGCCACAGGACGCCACCGATGGTGTCGGTCGAGCGCAGCTCCAGCGCCAGGGGCCCCGGGACGAGGGTCTCCCCCGGGGCCGGAGTCACCAGCGACAGGTTGACCGGCCCCGAGGTGGGGACCGAAGCCATGGCGGGCGTCCCGGCGCAAGTGCCGTTCAGCTCGGGCCCGCCGCGAGCATGCTTCGCCGGGTCGCCGGGGTACCGGGACTCCAGGGCCATGGACACCACCTGCACCAGGTCCAGGCTGAGGGAGTCGGCTTCGGGCGCGCAAACACCGGCGGGCCGGGGCGGGGGGGGGGGGGGGGGGCAAAAAGGGGGGCCGGCTTCCCGGACTCCATGTAAGACCTTCGAAGCCCCCGCCATCGGGGGGGGGGGGAGAGGGATCTCTCGCCTCCGGGGACCCCGGGGCCTACGCACGGCGAGTTGAGTACCGCATGTGCGATTCATCCACGCCCTCGCACACCCGCCCCCGCCCAGCTGGGGACGGGGATAGAGCGAGGGCGAAGGGGCGGGACGGGGGGGAAAAAGAAAAGAAGAGGCAACAGACGGAGGAAAGCCGACCTGGCCCCACGCATGTGGCCGGCGGTGTGCAAGCCCGCGGCAAAGGAGAAGCGCCGGGGGGGGGGGGGGGGGGGGACAAAACCGAACATGACGGCCGGTCGGGGGGTGAGGGACGGTGAGCAATGGGCAAATGGCCGGAGCAGGCCGAGCAAGGCAACAAGCGAGGGATGGCAATTGGGGAGAAGAGACGGATCAAGAAGGCCGCCATCACAGCCAGGGCACACGCACCGAGACTTTGCGACGCGGTGCTCTCGCCCTTCAGAAGCAGGGTGAGCGCGGTGGAGCGCGGGCCGGCGGACAGCACATTGCGGATGGTCAGCAAATCCAGGCGCCGGGCCTGGCTGCCAGGGTCCTCCTCGGCCCGGCGGAGCTCCGAGGACAGGAGCTTCGCCACGGCGGAGATGTGCCGCGAGTATGTGGCCGCCGAGTTGCGCCCGGCCCCGAGGGGGCCATCGCCGAAGCCCACCCGGGCCGGGTAGCTGAGCAGGGCCGCCGCCAGGCGGTTGAGCCCGGGCAGGTCGATGCTTGGCCCGGTGGTGGCACCCGGCCCGGAGGACGAGTCGCCATGGGCCTGGTGGCCGGCGGCGTCGTCGTCGTCGTCGCCGTCGTCATCGTCGGTGGCGGCACCGGCGCCGGCGGCCGACCTGGCCTCCGGCAGCGCGGATGACGTCTGGCTCAGCTCCGAGGCGGCCAGCAGGGCCCGACGCATGCCGGCCAGCACGCGCCACTGCTCCTGGCGCAGGGCCGGGCTCAGGGCATGCAGCGGGAAGATGTCCAGACAGCGCGACAGCAGCGGCGCCAAGGGGGCCGCCTGCCCGGCGATTGCCCCGGGCCCGGCCAGGCCGTCGGCCTCCTCGGCATCCAGCCCCGGCAGGCCGGACTCCAGGAAGAGGAGACACTGCTCCACCAGCAGATCCAAGTCCTGGGCCAGGGGCAGATCCCCGGCGCACCGAACCAGATCCCCGGACGCCCGGGGGCAGTATTCGGCCGCCGCGGCCTCCAGGGCGGCCGGCGTGATGCCCTCAAAGAAGTCGCTCCCCTCGCGGGCGACCTCCACCTCGGAGCCATACTGCTCGCTCAGCAGGAACTGGCACTTCAATTGGGTCAGCAGCCGCCGCGCCTCCAGCAGCAGGGCCCTCGAGGCGTCCTGCGCCATCGTCCACGCAAGACCCCGGGCCGGCAGGGAAAGGGAAGGTCAGCGCAAGCAGTCGATGCACACGAGGCGGCCAGCACCCGGCCAATGGAAGATCTCCCCCGCCCCGCCCCTCCACCCTGGGAGAACGCACGCGATCGGTGGCCGTCAGAGCCGCCTCGGTGTGGACGCGTGCCTGCTCCAGCAGCGTCAGCGCCGCCTCCGAGGCATGGGCCGCCACGCCGCCGGCACCGGACGCCGTCAGCCGGTGGGACAGGGCAGCCTGGCCGACGGTCGAGTGAGCCTCCAGCTCCACGAGGCTGGATCGCGGCGAGCCCGGCACCGCGCCGGCCGAGCCGCCCGGGCCGCCCGACGACGTCGCCGACAGGATCCACAGGGCCAAGTCCAGGTGCCCAGCGCGCAGGGAGGCCGAGATGAGGTTCCGCGGCGAGGCCGCCAGGACCGGCAGCAAGCCGCCCGACTCGGCGGCCGCCGCGGCCAGGGCCTCGCCACCGGTGTCGGCGTCCTCGCCGCCGGCCACGATCTGCTGCACGGCGGTCAGCCGCCAGGACAGCTCCCGGCAAAGGCCAGCCAGTCGACTCAGGCGCCCGGCCTCCGTCTCGTCATGCAGGATGCCGGGGCTGGTGGCCGCCGGCGGGGGAGCCCCGGACCGACCCGGGTCACTGGCCGGCTGGCCCAGCAACTCCCCCAGCACCGCCATGATGGCGATGGCCCCGGATGGCGGGCTGACAAATTGCTGGCGCTGTGCCTGGGACTGCGGCCCCTGGCCCAGCGGGTCATCGAACAGATCGTCCATCGAGGAGGACCCGAGCCCACCGCCACGCAGCGGGCCGATGTCCAGCCGCCGGAGGAGCAGACAGCTAAACACCAACTCCAGGGCATCGACCGCCAGGTGATCCGTCGGGCAGGCAGCCGGGTCGCAGGGGCCGGGCTTGACGCACCGGCCCGAAGAGCAGACCGCCCGGGCAAGGTGCTCCCGAAGGGCCGCCTGCCGGGCGGCCACCTCCTCGGCCGGGAGCTCGGGCAGCGGCGCCGGGGTGGCCGCCACCGCCGGGGCCGGAAGCCCCGGGGGATGGAGTGCCCCCGGGGCATTCACCGCGAAGCCCGGCCCGCCCAGCCCCGACGGGCCGAGGGAGAAGGAGGACGACCGCGAGGACGACAGCGAGGACGACCTCGAGGACCGAGTCGAGACCACTCGCGAGGCCTGACTCTCAGCCAGCTCCGACGGGGGGAGGTGCGACACGAGAGCCGCGGCGTTGGAGGCCGCCGCCAGGGCATGGAAGCCCCGCCGCTCCATGAGAGCATGGCGATCCAGCTGCAGGCGAGCCCAGTGGCAGGGGCCAGGAAGCAAGGGCGAAAGGAGGTGACGATTAGCCAGGGCGCCAGAGGTGACATCGAGAAGGGAGCAGCGAGAGAAGAGGGAGGCTGGGTGTGGCGGAGGGAAGGAGAAGAGGAAGAGCCGAGGGTGATGGGGGGGAAAGCGCACCTCATCCTGCGGTAGGAGCAGCTCCGCCCCGACCGGGTGCGGCCGATTCTCCAGAAGCTGGCTCAATGCCGGGAGCAGCGACTGCGCGGCACCGGACCCGCCGGCCAGAGGCGAGTCCACCACCCGCGACAGGGGGACTGGCGACAGGTATGCCAAGGCCGAGACGAGACTCGCGCCGGAGCGCACCGCACGCGCAGCGTCCACACTGCTCGCCGTCAGTGGGGAAGGGCAAAGACGAGGAAGGGGGGGGGAGAGAGAGAGAGAGAGAGAGAGAGAGAAACCCTGTCAGTGACCGGACCAGAGGAGTGGCGCTGCGCGTGACAGCAATGCGCCAGGGCCAGGGGCCGAGGGGGCGCCGACGGACCTGGCATTTGCGCTGCCGAGAAGCCACTCGGCAGCGGCCTGGCGCCAAGCCAGCACCCGGCAGGCGGCATCCAGATCGTCGCCCGGAGTCTCACCGCCCAGCAGTGACTGGCAGGCCGCCGCCATCCAGGCCCCGGCCGGCGGCGTGTACACCATGTCGGCCGAGGGCATGGCAGGGCGGGGCCGGGCGCCAGCCCGCGCACCGGCACCGGCCAAGGTCCAAACCGGCGCCGGCTGCGGGAAGTCGTCCACCGGCGAGGAGTCCTCGCTGAGCATGAGCGGCGAGGCCAGCGGCGGCGAGAGAGCCGGGCCACCGGCGGCCCCGGTGGCCAGGCCCTGCAGCATGCTGCTCTCGAAGCTGTCCTGGGTGTTGGAACGCGCCAGGCGCCCGGCCGGAGGGCTGGACCCGGAGCTGGCCGGCGGCGAGCCGGCCCGGGTGGACCCCGAGGAGCGCGGCCGGCGGCCGCTCAGACCCGGGGCCGGGGCCGGGACCGGGGCCGGAGCGTCCAGCGGATCGAAGGCAAAGGACAATGCGGTCAGGAGCTGCGAGCCGAGGTGGACCTCCTCGGCCCCACTCCCGGCCCCGGGCAGGGGGGAATGGACATCGCCCGAAGACGAGGCCGAGGACAGGGGCGAGTGCAGGGACCCGGACGAGGAGGACCCATCCCCCGGGCCGGGGCCGGTGATCGCCTCCAGGGGCAGGGCCACCCCGGAGGCATCTGCCAAGCCGGGCGTGGTCAGGGGCCAGATGGCCAGCAGCAGGAACTGCGCCAGGGTCTTGCGCCAGCGGCGCTCGGCCAACGGAGAGCCAGCCTCGGCCCCCGCGCCGCCGACATACGGGAGCTCCCGGACCAGGCGCCCGACGGCGGCCGGGTCCCCGGCTCGCACCGCGTCCCCGGCCAGTCGAACCAGGCGCTCCAGCAGATGCTCCGTCATGACGGTTTGGTTGGTGTGCACCCGGCCGGCCAGCAGAACCAGCGACAGGTGCCCGAGATAGGCCGCAAGCGGGGGGGCCTCATCGCCCGGGCGCGTGTGGGGCGTTTGGTGGAAGCGCCCAAGCAGCTGGGCCGACTTGTCGCGCTGGTGACGGGTTGCCAGACGTGGGGGAGGGGGGGGGGGGCGGGGGCGAAGAGGGGCGGCCGCAAGCGGGAGCAAGTCAGGGAACCGCAGATCAGGGGACATGCCGGTGGCATCCATCGGCAGGCAGGCAGGTAGGCAGGCAGGCAGGCAGGCAGAGGGGGGGCGGGGGCGGGGGGCGAGAGGACGCCAGGCAGACGGCACGTACAAACACCTGGAGCTCCACCTGGGAGAACATATTCAGCAGGGTGGTGGATGCGGCGCCCACCGGCGGATAGAGCTCCATGTGCCGAGGGAGCGGGGCACTGACAAAGAGGCCCACCGGGGCCGGGGCCCGGACAAGGGCCTCATAGACCGAGGTCCGGAGGTCGGCGGCCCAGGTGGCCGCCGGGCCGCCCGGCTCGGTCAGCTGCACCACCAGCCGGGCCAGGGTGTGCAGCAGGTCCTTAAGCAGGGTGACTTCGTGGTCCGGGGCCATGGGGAGGGCGGCCGAGCCGGCGGCCGGCAGGGTGCGCCCGGTGCCGGCACTGGCACCATAGCCCAGGCCGCCGGGGGCGCCCAGGGCCGCGGCCCGGGCCAGCAGCTCGGACACCGAGGCCTCCGGCATGCGGAGCAGGCCCACCAGCCGCAGGAGCGTGCGGATGTGCGATGCCACGGACGCGGGGCTCGGCGCATCGGTGGCCAGAGCCCCGGCCGCGCCGGCGGCCGCCGGGCCCCCGGCCCCGAGGGCCGCCTGCAGGTTGCCCAGGGAGTCGAGCACCGCCTCGCGGGCCACCCGCTGCAGGAGGATCAGCGTCCGGGCCAGCAGGACACGCGATTGCAGCCAGCCATGCAGGTCCCGCAGGGCGGGCTGCAGGGCGGCCGGCGCCGCGGCCACCAGCGAGCCTGCCGTCAGGGCCGGCGCGACGCCGGCCCCTCCGCGGCCGGGCGCGACGCCAGGGCCGGCTGCCGGGCCGGCCGCCGTCGCCGTGGCCCCGGCCGCCGGGCCATTGCCCAGCAGCGCCGCCGGCAGGTGGCTCAGCCACAGCACCGGGATGGCCGGCAGGTGAAGGCGCTCCAGAACCATGCACGTGCTGAGCGGGTCCCGGACCATCAGGTCCGCCAGCCAATGGAGGCTGGCCTTGGTCAATTGCGGCTCGGCCGGGAAGACCACCGAGCCGGGCTGCCCGGCGGCCCCGGTCAGCCCCGGCAGTAGGGCCCCGAGTGAGGCTTGCAGGTGCTCATGCAGCCCGGGGACCCCGGCCAGCCGGCTGCGATCCAGCCACAGGGCGGAAATCCGCCCGAAGAAGGCGCTCAAGTCATCGAGACACTCGCGCTGGCCCTGTTTGAGCAAGGGTCCGGGCGGGGGGAGAGAGAGGGGGGGGGGGGGGGGGGGGAGCCCGAACGCCCACGAGCAGACGCGGGTGTCACAAGACAGACAGGCGTCATTGGGGCGCGCGTGGATGCGTGTTTTTGTGTTTTTGTGTTTTTGTGTGTGTGAGAGAGAGAGAGAGAGGGACATTCGGGGAGTGAGCCGGATGTGGGCGAGCGGGCGAGCAAAGCGAGAAAGGGAAACCCCCCAACCGGCCGGCCAAGAGCGCACCGACGACAGGGAGAAGACCGTCGGCGAGGACACCCGCGAGAAGGAGCTCGTGTCCGAGAGGGTGGCACTGCCAAACTGCCCATCCGGCGAGAGGGAGATATCCGTGGAGGCGGAGTTGGGCCAGAAGGGGGCGCGCGGCGGGGCGTGGCCGGGGGTGGCGGCTGCCGAGGCGGCCGCGGCCGCCCCCATGGCGTCCGGCGGCACCGGGGTGAAGCTGGCCGCCGAGTCATCGGCCGGGGCCCGCTGCGCCAGGATGGCCCCCTGGTGGCACATCAGGTGGCTGATCAGCAGCTGGAACTCCAGCAGCCGGTCGCCGGCCGTCAGGGCCGGCAGGTGGGAGGTGAAGCGCCGGGCGTCGATCGGCTGGTCGGCGGCCTCCGGCCCCGGGGTCGAAGCGAAGAAGCCGCTCAGCATGCGCCACTCGGTCAGGCACTGCCAGCGAAGCTGCAGCAGCAGTGGCAGCGGGGCCAGGGACACCGGCCAGTGCCCGGGCGGGCCCTCATCGGCCAAGCGCCGGAGGAGGTCAAGCACCCGCTGCCGGCACTCGGCCGGGCTGAGCACCGGGGCCCCGGCGTCCGGGGCATCCTCGGTGTCGGCCTCGGCACCGGGCCCGGGGGCCGGATCGTCCTCGGCACCGGGGGCCTTGCTGCGGTCGGACAGGGCGCCAGGCGGGGCGGCCCCGCGCGACACGCCGCACGCATAGTGGAAGGCAAGGTTGGCCAGTGACCAGCGGCCCACCGACAAGTGGTTGACACCGATGCGCAGCGACCGCGACCGCGAGCAGTCATCGGCCGAGATGAAGCTGAAGGCCAGGGTCTCATCCACCGCCGGCGGCAGGGGGGGTGCCCCCATGGCGGAAGTGCCCGGCGAGAGGGTGGCCGGCGCCTGGCGCGCGTCGGAGACTGGCGAGGCGGACACCGTCTCGGCCATCCGACGGGCTGGCTAAGTGGGCAGTGGCGGACGGAGGGGGCCAAGGGGGAGAGATGGGGACAAGCCGAGGGTGCCCGTGGCTCAGGGGGGGGGGGGTGGGGGGGGGCGAGAGAGAGGGAGAGGGAGAGAGAGAGAGAGAGAGGGGGGGGGAAGGGGGGCGGGGGCACTGAAGCACGCTGCCTGGCCGGCGTCGGGCCCAGATCGCGGCAGCTGAAATGCGCCCCCCCCCCCCCCCCCCGGCTGTGGCCCTCTCCGGTCTTGGGGGGAGCCGAGCCGAGCGGGCCGGGATGCGCCGGGGGCAGAGGGGACCAGGCGCGGAGTCGAACATCGGCGCCCCTCTGGGAGGGCCTCCGGGAGAGAGGGCCTGGGCACCGGGACGCGCGCGCGCGCCGGACGGAGGGGAAAACAACATCCCAACATCCCAACGCTCGGGTCGCCTCGGCAAAGGGACCCGGGGTGTGTCCTCTGCGACCGACCGCCGCACATGCCAAGCGGCCGCCGGGCCCTGCGCGCCCGGTGCCGGGCCTCGCCCCTCCGTCGCACATGAACCGGGCCCTCCTCCCCGGGCAGGGTTGACGCGAATGTTGAGCCGAATATAAAAGAGCCCGCTTTGTGGAACAGTCGCCCGTGCGACTGCCGACGCATCTAGCGGGCTTTGAGTTTAGCAGCGCGCCCGCCGGTCGGGCTCGCGGATTTTACCCACACCTTCGGCGGAGAATGTGTCCACAAATGGGCAATATCATTCCGCCAGGCACGCCCCCGCGCGTATCATGTGCGCCTCCCGAGCACCGCCATCCGCTCGTCTCCCGCCTCTCGGGGGTGGTGGGCTGCGAATGCCGCCAGCGCATCCCCCCCCCGGGTGCGCCTTTCATGCGAGCCACCCCCCCCCCCCCCCGCGCCGCACCTTGTGCAAGGGGGGGAGCTGGCAGGGCGACACGCACAGGGGGGGGCTCAAGCGCGTTTCTCCCCATGCTAGCCCGCCTGCCCGCCCGCCCCCCGGGAAGGGGAGGAGCCCCCCCCCCCCCCCAGAGGGGGATGGGGGGCAGGAGCTTTGGCGTGCGATCGCCCGGCCCGCCGGCGGCTACTGGGCTTTTTAGCGGCCCGGCCTCTCTCTGTCGGTGCTTTAGCGTGTCGGCCGGCTGGGGCGAGCGGGGCGCGGTCCGGCGCCGGTGCGCCCGCATCCCGGCCCTGCGGCGTGCCAGTCACGGTCCCCCCCCCCCCCCCCCCGGGCCTGGGCTTTGGGATGCGCATGCCCGGGGCTGACTTCCGGCGGTCCGGCGAGGGGACCGGGCCGCGCCGGCGCGTCCGTCGGCGCATGGTGTATCTTCCCCCGTCCTCCTCCGCGGGGCGGGTGACTGACCCTGCGCGATCGGGTGGGGCAAAAGAAAACAACCGGCCGGGGCCGGTCCTCCGCGAGCAGGGTCTCCCACGTCCCAGGGCGCCGGTGCTGCTCCGGCCCCGCGCCCCCCCCCCCCCCCCCCCCCCGCCACCGTCCCTCTGGCCCCAAGTGCGCGTGTCTTTTCAGGGGCTGCTTGGTGGTGGTGGTGGTGGTGGTGGTGGTTAAAAATGCCAGCCACCCTGGGGCCGGGCGGACCGGGCGCGCGCCGGGGGTGTGCGGGCGCGCGGCCTGATCTCTTGCTCCCTCGCACTCTCGCTCGCGCCCCGCCCCTTCGGTGGCCCTCCCCCCGGGCGTTGGGGGCGCCCTCGTCAGGGGAATGTGCAGGCGTGTCCCTGCCGGGCGCGCCCCAACAGCCGGGGTATGGGGGCCGGGCCGCGGCCACTCTCGGGCCCCAGGCATGTGTAAACAGAGGGCGCCCTCGCGGCCGGGCGATCGCCCTGCTTTCCACGTCCAGTCTCGTCGGCCCCCCTGCCCCAGGGGACGGGGCAGAGGGGCTGGCTCTCCCCCGGGCGGGGCGATCATCGCCTCCCGTGCGGTACTTGCCAACCGACCAGCGAGATGCGAGCTGGCTCCGAGAGACAAGGGAGGTCCTCCCATCCCCCCGCCCCCTTGCCCCCGCCCCCGCGCCTGCTCCCTTCTCCGGTGTCCCCCTGCCGCTGATGCCGGCGAGGGTGGCTGCGGGCGTGAAAATGTCGCCTCATCGGGTCCGAGCGCCTCCTGGTCGCCTGCAATCCCTCGCCGCTGCACCCTCTCCACGCCCGCCTCTCCCATCCTATCACCTGCTTCCTCTTCTCGCTCCCCCGCCCCCTTTCTCTCTCCCTGTCCCCGGCCCCCGACACACCTCTTGCCCTATGTCCGCCGCCGCCGCCGCCCCCCCGATAGCCTCCGCCGCCTCGCCCGGGGCCGCCCCCGATGGGACACCCCTCCTGCCGTGCGGCCTGTCCGAGCAGCAGCTCACCCGGCTGGCGGAGGCGGACGCGCGCGAAGCCCTGAACACCGTCCTGGCGGCAGATCCCTTCAACACCCGGTGCGCCGACTGCCACGCCGGGGTCGGGCCCTTCCCGTCCGCCCGGAGTCGGCACTTCTACCCGGCCACCATCTCGCCGACGGAGGCGGCCCTGCGCCGGCTGGCCGGGCCGGACGACCACCGGGGCGCCCCCCCGCGCTGGGTGTCGGTCACCTTTGGCACGGTCTTGTGCACCCGATGCGCCGGCATCCACCGGTCCATCGGCGTGGATGTGACCCGCGTGCGCGGGCTCGACCTGGACACCTGGGACCAGGCCAGCATCACGGTGCGCCCGCGGCCGGGGTGGGTTCTTCTTTCTTTCCTCCTCCTCCTCCTCCTGTCGGCCGGCCTTCCGACCGGTTGTGCCCCTCCGGCCACCAGCCCCCCCCCTTGCTGACCCTGGGCTCGCCATCCCTTCGCGGGATTCGCCGCTCGGCGTGGGCGCATGCTCGCACGCGCAGCAACTTGCCCGGCATGGCGGCAACACGCGAGTCAACACCCGGCTGCTGGCCCTGGCGCCATCCGGCGCATGGAGCCTCCCGGAGAATGTCAGCTACCAGTATGTGATGGCTGTGGCATGTTCCTTTTCTTTCGGCCCCCTTCCGCCGGCCGACGGCGCTGTCCCCGGGGCGACCTCTGACGCTCCTGCCTCCTTCCATGCCTTGCCCCTCGTCCACAGTGCCATGCACAAGTGGACCCTGCTGAAGTACAAGCACTTGGCCTTTTCGGCACGCATCGCGCCGGAGCCCTCGCGCAAGGTGCCCCCCCCGCGCTCGCGGTCCACCTCCTCCTTCGACTCGGAGCGCGTGCGTTTTCCCCGACCCTAGGGGGGGGGGGGGGCCTGTTGCCCCTCCTCCCCCCTGTACAGATGCACGTTGCCCGAAGCCAGCCTCTGACCCTGCCTCCTTCCGCCCGTCTCCCTGCCTTGACTCGTGGGGTTTTTTTCCCCCGGGGGCGGTGCACGCACACATGCACGCATGCGCGCACACATGCAGGAGCTCGAGTACGAGGACCTCCCGCCGGCCGCGTGCGAGGGAACGTCCTCCTACTTTGTGGAGATCGCCGTCTCGGACCCACGCACCCTCATGGCCAATGAGGCTTTAGAGGAGGACTTGCACACGGTGGTCGTTGCCACCGGGGGCGGGTCCTCAGCGATTGGGCCCAGCCGGTCGGCCTCGACCGCCAGCGAGGCGTCAGTCTGCTCGGACATCTCGGCCGTCACCGAGGGCGCCAGCTCGCCCGAAGGAGGGGCCGAGGATCGGCGCGACACGCCTGGTGGCGCCTCGTCAGCAGCCAGTCCCGATTCGCCCCCGACGCCATCCAAGCGCCGGCTGAATCCCGTTTCCTCGGAGAACTTCACCACCTACCTGATTTCGATTACGGTGCGCGTGTGCCCGTGCACTCCTTCACGCTGCAGGCTCTCTGCTCATGTGCTAACCCCTTGGGTTTTGCGCTGTGACTGCGGCCCTCTGCCGCTCTGTCTGTTGTTCTGCTGCTCTGTGGCTCCCTCGCCCTGTCGCCCCGGTCCGCTGTTGCTCTGGTTCCCTCGGCTCCTTTGGTGTTTCCTCCTCCCCCTCTCCCTCCCGCCCGGGCCAATCGCCCTTTCTGCTCGCCCTTTCTGCTCGCCTCTTCTGCTCGCCCCTTCTGCTCGCCCTTTCTGCTCGCCCCTTCTGCTCGCCCCTTCTGCTCGCCCTTTCTGCTCGTCTTGCCCACGACTCAGACCAACATGCCGGCCGTGGCTTCACTTTCCGGAGACCGGGAGCTCGAGGCCGGACCCTCGTTTGATGTGCACTCGCCGCCCGTGGTGACCATGCTGTTCCGCAAGCGGTATTCCGACTTCCGGGCCTTTCGCCGGGCCCTGGTCGAGGAGATCGCCTCCGGTGCACTGAAGATCTCCGACGAGACGACCACCACCCGGGCCGACCTAGACAAGCTGATCGATCGGATTCCCACCCTCCCCGGACGGACGATCTTCGCCCCCTCCGGTGTGTTTCCCCTCCCGAGGGAGCTTCAGCTTGCCACGTTGACCTTCCTTCTCTGACCTCCCCTCTGGCTCTTGTTCCTGCGTCGCCCAGAGCGCTTCAACGAGACAGTCATCGAGAAGCGCCGGAAGGCCTTCAGCTCTCTGCTCAATCATATCGCCGCGGGCGGCGTCGCCTGGTGGTGTCTAGCCTCTGTGCGGGACTTCCTTGCCCACGCGTGAGGGCGTGCAGCCACCTTCTTCCGGCTGTGGCCTCCCCCCTCCGCGGCGCCCCTTGACCGGCTACCTGTACATGCGCATACAGCCAGCCCGAGGGGTCGTTGGTGTGCCGAGAGTGGCGAGCCGCGCGCGCGCGCGCGCGCCGACGCGGAGGGGATGTGTCAGTGTACCCGTGCATGCGTTCCTGCGTGTCGCATCATGTTGTGCCTCCCCCCCCCCTCCCGCGCACCTTTCTCTCCACAGACATAAACACATTTCTTGCCTGGCTCCCTCCTGCTCTCTCCCTCTCTCGCTCTCTCCCCCTCCCGACACGCACACCTTGCCATGCCCCGCGCGAACAGGAACACACCCAAAAACTCGACTACGCACGGCCAAGTCACGGGCGAGGATCACGCCCCACGCTTTCCGCCGGCAGCCCTCCTGACCCTGGGACCGATAGGAGCCCCATATCTGCCAACGAACCTGGCGTGCATTCTCTCGATCGGATGCGGGCGTGCTCGCGCGCGCGCGTGCCTGCCTGCCTGCCTTGTGCGAATGCATCGGGGCCCAGCGGCTCCGAAGGTCGGCGGCTCCCAGGCCCTGCTGGCGGACGGACGCGCCGAGCCGGAAAGCACCGAAGTGCCCCTTGAGAAGGCTGGCGTGTCGGGCGGGGCGGGCCGGGGCGGGCCGGGGGGGTCCCTCGGCGTTCCCCACAGTGTGATAGGCCCGCCGCCCCCTTCCCCCCCCGTTCCCCCCAGCCCCCCGGCCCGGGGAGAAGTTGAGGCCCGCTGCCAGGCTGCGTCCGTTCCCCGCTCGGGAGCAGGACATTCCCAAATAGGAAGGCCGTGAGTAGCTGCCCTGGGCGCCCCCCCCCCCCAGGCCTGACCTTCTTCTCTCCCAGGCCGGGACTGTCTCGGGGGCTGTCTCGGGGGCTGGATCTGGCCGTAGGCCCCCCCCCCCGCCGCCCCACGAGAAAAGGGCCCGGGCCGGACGACTGTTGCCCTCCGTGTGCCGGTTGTCAGCCGGCAGCCACAACAGCCGGCAGCCAGCGGTAGCCAGTGCCCGGGCCTCCCCCGGGGGGGGGGGGGGATGACAGAGCACAAGGCCCGGCGG